AAATTGACTATAAGCTGTGCAACATACAAGTGGGCATCATGGAGATGTTTACCTGATGAATGGAGGCTTAAGTTTGTATGCAATCTTGCCAGTTAAAATCCCCAGCCTTTTCATCATGTTAAATATTTGTTCACCCTCCACATAACTACTTCCAAATGCAGTCCTAGAGATGACTTCTGCAGTTAACAACATGAACTCTTCACTGACATCAATTTCCTTGCCATCATGATCACTCCACCTTCTCAGCATCATCTCAACACTTTCAACCATTGCTGGAGTCATATCCTAGAAAAGCAAAAATATTACTTAATCGTATAAGAATTAATATAGAGATGTAGATGAATGCCACAACAACAAAACACTTGGGGTGTTAAAACTTTGTTGATTTAGTCCTTTGCAATTAGCCTTTTAATGCACGAATAAATATGCTTTTTCAATTGCCATGAGAATTGTCTTCATGTTTGACAAAAATGTGTAATTTTGTTTTTCTGTATATTAGGATTTTTTGCTGTGGGTAACCAATTTGAGACACCTAAATTTCCCATCAAGCTGTATGCATTCTGAGGATATATTGCCATTAAACTTATACTCCATTTCATCTTATATTCTAAATTTTAATTTTAGACACTTCACATCGTAACATCTCAATTATTTTCCGCTTAAGTCCAGTCGATAAAAACATTAAGAATTGGAGAACCATGCGTCACTGCATTTTTTGCACGACTGTTAGATGATGGTAAATATACTATCACCTGTTAGAGTGACTAAGGTATAAGATATGTGTATGATCCTCTATTCAATAAGTTTTTGATAAAGTTGTTGTTGGTTGACTTAAGTCGCACACATAGGAGAGGACAGAGTGGAAAGTATCCAAAACTGAAGTTCAAATTGCAAAGTGACAATTGGTTACAAATTTGGGGTGCAAAGTAGAAAGCTCCAATGTGTAATCAACCTGTCTTCTTTACTAGACTCTTGATTTACGGTTTTTTTTTTTTGGGGTACTACTCTTCATTTACAGTTGAAAAGGTCCAATGTGCAATTGACAAAGAAATAATTAAGAAAAATATAAGTGAATACCCCAAAACATTAAACAATCAATACCAACCCACATTAAACTTCTAGATCTGATTGTTCTACATAAGTTCACATGCCAGCAGAAGTATATATATATATTTTCACTTAAGAGTATCCCAATCTTTTGGCCAGACTAGTCCCTAAAAGTGTAGAGTTTTGCTCTAAGGATATACAACGAAATAGCACACAGGATCGATCATGAGACCTGTTGGTAATTACCAGATTATGAAACTAGTCGGACTACTCCCGTCGCGACTACACGCGGGAGGCACATATCAGCAGAAGTATGAGCAATATAAAATCTGCTTGTTTACGTACTAGGCTGATGACTTAATAAAGACCAACTTTTATAAAAAAATAAAAGTACCATGGCCCAAAAAAAAAAAATGACACAAAAGTCTCATAGAACAACTTTTTTCTTAGACAAGAGGGCAAAATAATTGTTCGTTATTGGTCACAATACACAAAGTACTATGAAATTGTGAATGCCGTAATTTATGTATTAACAACCCATTCCAAATAAATTAATAAATTAAATGAAAAAGTGTAACTAGCTAAAGTAAGTATGACCAATTTGTGGATCTTACCCTTAAACTCTCACCATGAAAGGCTTGGTTGGCCAGTTTTCGCAATTTGACCCATTTTTCTCCTTCTGATTGCCCAAGACCACCTCCTACAATCTTCTTCAAATATTTACTCAATTTTGCTATGGTAAAAAATTGTTCCTTATCATTCAGTATTTCTTTTATGAGATCCAGATCTGTGATAACCAATTCTGCTCCAGCACCACGCCTCCACCGGAGAAAAATCTTCCCTTCTCCAAAAACAAATATCTTGATTAACTAGGTAAAAGAAGTTGTAACATAAGCAAAATGTTTTAGCTAGATGGGAACTTCAAAACTTTAAACTTGAAAATCCTATAGTCGACTATCCTTATCATGTAACCAGCAACAATGGCCTACACCCAATTTGGAAAAGGCATTTGAGGTCTCAAGTTCGGCTTTGATTATCTAACTATCAACTAATCAACATCAAGCCCCCCCAAAAAAAAACACTAATCAACATCAAATTTTACCTTGAAGATCTGATTAGCCACCCGGGGGGGGGGGGACAAATAATACAAGTGAAAATGATGTAGCTTACCATAAATGTTCATCCAAGAGTATATGTGAGGCTGAATTACTGGAAATATGTCATGTGATAAGTTGGTGGTGTTCTCTTTCTTCTTTGGCAATTCTCTGGGGCTGCCATGAAGGATACTACGAGGAGGGCCTTTGATGCCTTGTGATTCCAATATGTGTTGAATCCGCATTGGTTTCCACCATATTATGTGAAGAACTTTGATCAAAGCAAAGAGTATGTAAATCAGAACAAACCCCACAAAGTAAAACTTCATGGACTCCATAGAGAATCAGACCAAAGACTTATGGCCTTGGCACGGTCAAGACTGAGAAGCAGAACCAAGAGAAAAGACACTCAAAGAGGTCAAGACTGAAATTGAGACACAATTTGCTAGACGAAACTCATTGATGATACAAAACAAGGAAGATTAAAAAAATCACACGAATAATGAGAACAAGTTATTTATTAAGCATAGACAAACTGACATCTCGACACGTTAATCAAGAATATTAGTAAAACAATCCGATTAAAGGAATAAAGAATTGTTTGCTTTTGTACCATTTATCTACTCCTTGAGTACGTGTCACTGCATACTCTAACAACAAATGTGAATAAAATTTGTGAGGCATGTAAGTTTCGAAACTTTGGCTTTTGTTCTTTAAGCGTAAATGGTGTTAGTTCTTGTTGATTCGATTGCTGCTACCAACTAAGGTTACTAAGGAATGATTAATATTTCATGGCGATTGGATGCATCAATATTTTGGTTTTCGCAAATCTCTATTATCGTTGATTGTTCCTTAGTCTGATGAATATTTCTATTAAACATCCCAAAAATAACCAAAAGAAGTGCAATGTTACCTCTCCAATTGGTCATGTTTAACCGAAAAAAAAAAGAACAAAAAATTAGAAAAGAGAGAACTCTCTTGGTCATTGGCACTCTGGCTCTTTGACCTTGACTTTACATGTGCCAGCTACTTATGGGTCCAATCATCTGTTCTTTCTTTACTTTTTTTCTGGGCAATTATCTTGTTGTTTATTATAGAAGTTGTATTGTATGGTGCGAAAGGCCAAGAGCTAAGAAATACTTCCGAGTCCGGCAAGTAATGGAACAATTCTATTCACAATAACAAGGAGAAAAAGATTTAATCTACACTTGATAAGTAGCAATCTGAATAGGGGTTGGGTACTATTTTGTACGCATGAATGCGTAACTACATCTTCATTGCCCCTATTCATAATAATTTCAACTTTTGTTTGGATTGAAAAATTTGACGAAGGATTTAAAATTCATTTAAATCACTTAATTATTTGACTTGCTTAAGAGGCATTTAATTTTGTAATTCATCAATTATCTAAGCATGACTTAAATATTAGAATAATTGGTGATTTATGAATTCAAATTTCTCTTATATCTTCAAATTCTTTATTAAATTTCTTAATCCAGACGTAGCCTGATTTTATATATTATGTTTATCTTTGTAACTGTTCCTACTCTATGGAGAAAATATTTATGATAAGAGGCAATATATGTTATGAGGGCAATAAAATTGTATCAGTCGCTGTGGTGCAATGCGTTTGTGTACATCGTAGACAGGTCAGTGATTTTGGGTAAAGATATTGATTTATTTAAATTTTCTGAAATGATCAACTCGCTAATGAAATCATTAACTACGCTTTAAAAATGTACCTTGGTTTCCTTCACCTAATTTCTCTTGTGATGATCTCAATTAGACGAGAGTTACAAAAAGGGTAAAGCGAACTTGACGAGGGACCGTAGACGTGCAAACAATAAGCAGAAGCTAAAACTTAGGATGGTCTCAAAAAATCTATGGTGCATGTAATAAGAGGAACTAAATTGACTTATAAGAATAAAGTTTAGTGACTATCTCGACTTTGTTAAAATAGCTGAAGGGCTAAACTGGCTCATAATAAAGTTTAGGAACTATTTTGAATTTAGCAAAATAGTTTAGGGACTAAATTGTTGTTTTACTCTTTTTGTTTTAATTTTTACACTAGTGGATTTGAATACGTACAAAAAAAAAAAAAGAAAGAAGAAAATCCAATTTTTGATGTACATTATGTATCATAAGACCAAGACTATCTAGTTTAGAAAAATTTTGCACTAAGACAGAAACAGTTAATCCTAAGACTACATGACATACTGCATATTACACAGGGAGAATAGCTAAGGAGATTGCACCTATAGTACTTGCGAAAAGTTTAAAAATATAGATTAAGAGTAAATCTTATATACACTGTAATTGTACATATTATCATAGCTGAACAAATGACATATTTGCTAAATTTGAATTTTAAATTTAAATTTAGATTAATTATCATGCATTCAATAGTAATAGTGTATATACTGTCTATATGTAAAATTAATCTATAAATTAAACGAATCTACTATCCATTTTGATCAGTTGAGTAGTTTATGCTGGTTACTTCATGAAGTCAATGCGATATCCGTTTCCAAATGTTCAAGATTGAAGTCCTATACAACTTACATCCCTATTTGAGCTGTTGACTAGCATTTGGCAAAGTTTGATTATATGCCAATTCATTATATTGTCAAAAAGCAGTTGTAAGGACATACGAATTGGCAATCTCGGGCAAGTTGAATAATCTATGTCATGAAAATTAATAAGAAGTGATTGTAGTGAAATATGAATAGTTTTATAGCTTTCTCATCATCGATTTTAGTTTTATACCTTTCTATAACTTGTGCTACTAACTTGAAAAAAGCTCAAATTCTCTTCTCTAAGTATCTTTCCCTGTTCCTTGACAAATTACTCAGCAGTCCAATGGCATTTCGTTTTACCGTTTTAGCTGCATTGATTTTGATCTCTTTAGCAATTAATTATTGCTTCAGCCGACCCCAGTCCTCTTCAGGATTTTTGTTGCTGACAAAACAAGTCCAGGTTTGGTACCCTTAAGGGCCTTATAACATCGTCAATCGATATTTCAGTGCTGCAATAGTTTGTTTATCTTTAACTTTTGTTTAAAATAGTTGAATATTGTTGAATTAAGGTAGTGCAAGCGAATGGCGACGTCTGCAAAGATCCAAACCTTGTAGAAGCAAATGATTTTTTCTTAAGCGGTCTGCTACTGAAAGGGAACATCTCCAATGCTCTGGGATCAGCCGGTGTAGTATCACTGATCCGAGTTGACTATGCATTTTGGGGAATTATGCCTCCTCATATTCATCCTGACGCTTCAGAGATTATGACAGTTCTTGAAGGAACTCTTGAAGCAGCTTTTGTCACTTCCAGCCCTGAAAATCGTCTCATCAAGAAAGCCTTGCAGAAGGGAGATGTCTTTGTGTTCCCGAAAGGTCTCATCCATTTCCACCGCAATGTAGGAAACTCTAGTGCAGCTGCCATTTCTGCTTTTTACCGCCAAAACCCTGATTTTATCAGCATTGCAGACACGGTCCTTGGATCAAATCCTCCTATCACCATTGATGCTCTCCTTAAAGCTTTCCAAGTGGATAAGAATGTAATTCTGGAAAATCACCCTGCCTGGGCCTCCTTGTGTCCTTTTCTGCTTTCTTCTTCTTCCACACTGCCACGGAGTGAAGATCTTTGCTGCCTGCATACTCTCTTCTTTTGCTTATTACCAATAGTGAAAAATACGAACGTTACAAATAGTAATTTTCAATACTTGATTGATTGTGTTACTATTCAATTGAAGGGGAAAGTGCAGTGTAGCCAGTTCAACTACTTCGAGTTCTTATCCAAATCATTAAACTTTTCTTTTGCACTAAACAACCTTCTCAAGTTCTTTGAAGTAATTGAATCAGCTCATTCCCACAAAACTTAAGGTTAATTTGGACGGATATTGCATTTGGGAGGGACAAAAATGACATCTTGCCTCACCAATTTCCCGAACCGACAAAAAACCCTCACTCTGGTCAGATTATCGCATTTCTTCCCCTCAAAAACTAAGATCGCGTTCCACCAAATTCTGGAAAATATGTTGGGTGATTTGGGAGAAAAAGGCAAAGGTTGATCCAGACAGCATACCCTAATTAAATGATTTTATTGTAATTTAGTGTTTTTTTTTTGGCAAATCTCGTACCCTAATCTAATACCCTAATATGTACACTTTGTGATATATTCTCACTCCAACTTAAACAAATATTCTTACAGTTTTGGCTATTAGGCTTCATTTGGATAGAGAGAAAATGATAGGGTGTAATTTTATCAGTTATTTTATTATTAATTCCCCTTATTATCTGATCCGATGTGGATTAATTGTTGGATTCTACTCACTTTTAGTATTTTACATTTATTTCAGGAAATAGAACAAAAATATGATAACAAGTGCCAATTTAATAAGAAAAGAGTCCAAATAACAGAGCTTGAACTAGGGGCATTTTTTGAAAAAAAAAGATGTTACGCCCATTTTGGTAAATTCTGCGAAGGAGGGACGGCTGAAGGGTTTCTTCTTGCTGGTAGGAGCCGCCGCACAGGAGATAGGCATTGGAGGAGACTTAGATAGGAATTAGAGAGGACTACTTTAAGTGGCTTTTGTTGACTTTTCTTAGGTAGGCTTTTGCTTAGCCTCAATTCTCGTATGTCAGAGGCCATAAGAAGGCAAAGAAATCATTTTCTGTAGTAATTTTTCTTTTTGGACTTTAGCCTTTCGTCCTTTGTGGTTCTCTTGCCGCATATGCCTGGAACAATTAGGACAATGGCCGCAGCTTTTGCTTCAGTTTCGTATGTTTTATTCTCATTAAACATGAACTAATTTCTCCACTTTAGTCAAGGGACAATGGAGGCTTTGATTCGCCTACACTTGTGAGATCGATTTAATTTTATCTTTTCTCTTCTCTTTTCTTCCTTCGTCTACTCCCAAACTAGGCCTTAGTGAGCTGATTGACGCATAAAAATGTTTATTAGTTTTGATGGGAATTCTAAATAGTTTACAGGACCACAGTGTACTTAACCTTAATTGGACTACTTGCTTAGGTCATGTTTGGATTGCTTGTTTCCGTCAGAAAATATTGTCGTTTTTTGTGATCACATTTCCCTATCACCTTTTTTCCTCACATATATCAAATCGCTACAGTAATTTTTCCATGAAAAATGACGGAAAATGCAATCCAAACACAACCTTAATCTCTCAAACACAAAATTCTTGTCATTCATTTCCCCCTAAATGGTAGGCACGCCATATTTAAGCGACGGATTCAAATATAAAAATTTCTAAAATCAAGAAGACAGATCATCATTTAGTTTGTATTTGTTGTATAATTCACATGTTGTGCAGAGTAGAATTTTCCTTTCTCTAAACTTTAACCTTACATTTTCTAGATGCACCATTCTATAAGGACTATTTTCACGTTCATTGTATTGATATTCCATTTTGGTATCAAAGCTGCGGATACACTGATACAGTGACAACTGTATAAGACTTGGCCAAGAAGTTTTTCCCAATACGTGAAACTTTTAAAAAGAAGAAGAACAGAAAATACTCTACTTTGAATCAAACTTTTGAATATGATCAAGATGGACGATTTGGCCTTCAACGTCATTTGGCATGTAAAAACTTCCTTTAACATCTTTTAAAGCACTATAAAACTGATTTTATTCTAAAAAACCATAGCTTAACGAAATTTGCAAAAGCTTCCAAAATTTAGAAAGAGTCTCATCCCTTCTCAGTTGGAAAAAAAATTTAAAAAAAAAGGGCATATATCAGGAACCTGTTTTCTAACAATCAAAGGTGGGCAAAATAGTCATTAAACCTGACGTGTGGCTTAGCCAGTTTTTGTTAGCAGCTTTCGATTGCTAATTAATTGTGTTGAATTGGACAAGACAATTGATACATTTAATGAATTAAAGGGCAGGCGATGATCAAGGACAGGTGAATAGGCAAAAATAAGGTCAATTAATGGTGAAGTTGACAACAAGAAGAAAATGATTATTAAAACCAAATCAAATGCATAAGCCAGCTGATTATCCATTTTGACTAAGTAAAAGAAGTCTCTTCTGTAGTTTGACATGGTAAGAACAGTAGTCGAAATAAAATAATTCTCTCACTAAGTCAAACAAATCAATGTCCTAATTAATGCAGCCAAAACTTTCAATTTTCGGACAAATATGTGCTCCATATCGACCAAGATCTGATAAATATGGGTTTTGGACTCGTGTACTTGGATTTATTATTGGTCAATAACGTAAACAAGTAAACAAAATGCTAAAGCGGCTGCATTTTAGAATGCTTGTAGTACTAGATCACCCTTTAAATTTCATATTAAGATCTTTCAGCCAGCCCTAAATATTATTTGAGATATTATTTGAAATAATTACTGTAATATTTTTTGTGATGTGATGTATGCACGATAAAAAGATAATTAAAAATATAAAAAAATGAATTGAAAAATGTGTTTATGATATAAGCGAAATATTATTTCAAATAACTTAACTATCTAAACATTTTCCTTTGAATAACAATACTGTCATGCCTTGGTGCAAGAATTGTATTGTTAAATAGAAATAAATTTTTTAAAATTGTGAAAATATTAGGCTTTTTGTTACTCATCATCCCATTTTCTATTGGTTAGTTGTAATCATTAAAAAAAAAAAAAGATCTTATTGCTTGTAAACCAATCTATAGTCTTTTTTTTTTCTCTCGATTGTAAAACAAAACTTACCAATTAATTGTGGTGAGGAAAGAAACTTACAAGGCACAGTAGCACTTTTACTTTCTCGGCAAGCACGTAATTTGCTTCAACACCTCCACATGCCGGCGCATCTCCTTCTCTAATTCAACGCGTTTTGCTTCAACATATGATGACCAGACTGAGACAACAGGAGCCGAGACGGCACGGGAATGACTTTCTCAACCCCTTCAATCTATAAAACCAGCTGTGCTTGCATTCATTTTGCAACTCAAAAATCTGCTCGCCAAAGTGATTATTGACAGCTAAACTTCTTATCTTTCAACATTCACCTTGATAAATCAGCAATCATCCCATAAAATGGCATCATCATCTTTTCGTATACTGTGCATCTTGTTATTATGTTGTTCAATTGCATTCGGATCTGACCCCAGCCCTCTTCAAGACTTCTGTGTTGCAGATACAAAAAGTCCAGGTATGATTATTTCCTGAAAACTAGCTCTAATTAGGTACTAGAAAATAATGTTAACTGTCACCTTTTTTCTTTTGTGTTTTTTTTTTGGTTACTTTTTTCTGTTTCATGTTTTATCTCTGAACCTTTTTAGTTTTGTCGTTTGCAGTTATGGTGAATGGCTTTGTTTGCAAGGATCCAAAACTTGTACAAAAAAATGATTTCTTCTTTAGCGGGCTTCACTTGGCTGGGAACACATCAAATGCAGTTGGATCAAGAGTGACTCCTGTAGCTGTCGCCCAAATCCCAGGGCTTAACACTCTAGGAATATCTTTGGCTCGAGTGGACTATGCACCTTGGGGCATTAATCCTCCACATACCCATCCTCGAGCCACTGAAATCTTGACTGTCATTGAAGGTACACTGCAGGTTGGTTTTGTCACATCAAACCCTGAGAATCGATTGTTCATGAAAGTGTTGCAGAAGGGGGATGTGTTTGTATTTCCAGAAGGTCTCATCCATTTTCAGCGCAACGTGGGATATGGTAATGCTGTTGCCATAGCTGCTCTGAGCAGCCAAAATCCCGGTGTTATCACGATTGCAAATGCTGTTTTTGGCTCTGAACCAGCTATCCCTAGTGATCTTCTTGCAAAGGCCTTCCAAGTTGATGGGAAGATAATTGACCAGATACAGTCCAAATTCTAAACAAATTTTCCCACCTTTAACACCCCAAATACAATTCTTTTGTTGTATTAATTCGCCTACTTCATTAAGTTGTTTATTGTATTGATTCTTTGGATTCTTTGTATTGCCTGAAAATTCTTCCAACTCATTCGTTATTATTTCAGAAATAACTTTTTAAGTCTGATCCTTGTCTCTATGTTCTGGATATGTCGTGCAGTTTTGTCCATTCATTAGCATTAAGACAATTTGGTTGTCTTATTATTACATGGTGTCTGTTTGTGCTAAATATTAAAGCAATGTTTTTAAACTCGAAATAGCAAGTCAATCGATCAGCCTACCAATTCTCAATTCTACCAGTTCACTGATTCAATGATTCTCTCTCTTTCTCCTTCTCTTTTATTTTTTTTTTAAAAATAATCTTAGGAAACACTAAATCATCTAATGCAAAAAGTAAGAAATTCCTCAAATATCATAAAAAAAATCAAGGGCAAAAAAAAAAAAAAATCTCATGTCTCAAATTAAGGTAACAAATTATTACTCCAAATCTAGCTTGACAAGAAAAAGAACGAGAGCACTGTGAAAGGAAAAGAACTAACATCATCTTCATTTCCATTTAGATGAATTAACTAAGACCATCTTCATTTTCTTCCCGTTCACATAATTTCAAATCAACATCTACAATTATAAACACATTACCATTTTCGTGTTTAATAAACATAAGAAAAAGATTGTTTTAGGAAAAAGAAAGAAAGAAAGAAAGAAAGAAAGAAAGAAAGAAATAGACCTCAATGAAAGAAAAGCATAAGCTACGTAAACAAGAGAGAAGAAAATAAAATTATTGTAATTTGAAGAGATCAACTGATCAAGAATGTAAAAGTGCCTTTCATCAAACAACATTAGAAACAAAGAATGAAAACTGATTTAGGTAACAAAAAGGAAAGGAATGAAGAGGATACCGTAACAGAAAACACGGTTTTTTTTTTTTTTTTTTCAAAAATGGTTGTTTACGACTGTTAATGTAAAGGATGAGCATGTTTTCATCATTATATATAAGTTGTGACCCATCATGCCATGGTCAACGAACGCCCAGAGTTGCATTGAGTTCGTAGGTTAATGTTTAGAAGTGGCGCAAAGGTGACCAAAGCCCATATTTGGACCATTTTGTGAAAAGAGGGAAAAAAAACCTCAACCTTTTCCAGTTCGATCGCTTCTAATCGGTTCCACAAGTTTGATCGGTTATGATTCATTTTGTCGATATAACATTTAACTAGAAAGGCACCATGGACGGTTCTTGATTGAGTGGATTTTCATGTACATGAAAATAAATGAACTAGGACTTTAAACTTCACTATGAGAGTAGGGGGAGCCAAATGCTAGTAAGAATCGATTCATTGCGATAATGAGTTTTGGTTCAGTTTGAAAATGAAATCCCTAACAAGACAGAAGTAATAGCAAGAAAAAGACTATTTTACTTGTATTTTTGACCATTGGTGGAATCTATGTTCTAGAACTTTGTATTTGATAAATTTTTCCTCTAAAATGGTTTCCTTCCACAAGTTAGCTTCATAATTCTAGTTAGTTGATATAATTGTTTTTTTGTTGCTTTAATTGATTATTATCTAAGTAATAGAGTAACTAAGGATCTAGCAATTAGAATGTAAGTTCCTCGTGGGATCGATCTTTATACGCCCTAAACTATAATCATGATCTGTATATTTATAGAAAATCGGTGTATTTAGAATTAAATTTGACTGCATATTTGAACCCCGTCATAAGAAAAGGATAAGATCTAGAGAAAAGAAAAGAAAAAGTAATTGTAATTTCAAGAGATCAAGAAAGTAGAAGTTCCTTACTTCAAATAACATTAGGAACAAAGAATTCGAATGATTTGCTGTTCTTGGCCTAAAGCTCCCCGGACTAAGGAAAACTGGGAGCTGGTGCTTGGGATGGGGATTGATCGAAACTGTCTACAACTTTAGATCATTGTGTTTTGAGTGGTACTGATTAGAAGTGGCAAAATGGATATATGGTTGATAAATGGTTTTAGTTAAATGGATTGTGGATCAAATTGATCAAATCCAATTAAAACCATTTAATAAATGGATCTAAATTGATGTTATTTAAATGGATAGTGTAAACCATGATCCATCCATTTATCCATTTAATCTCCCAAATCTTAAATTTAAGATCAAAATGTTTTTTTTCAAAAAATACATATCCCCAAAGTTCTATCCTTAAATCACCTAAAACCTTTTGGTAATAACAAATGCTTGTACTACTACTCTATTTCAGTTCTTCATAAAATTAGTTTAATTCCAAGAAAATTTAACTGTTGTGGTCAATTTAACCTTTCGTCATTACTTTAAGTATCATTTTGTAAAGTAATGAACGATTAAGAACTTGGCTATATTTTTATAACTTTTGAATGAATTGAATACGGCTTTACAGTGAAAAAAAGTTTACGTTTCCAATTTTTTGCACTCCTGTTCAAGAGTGATGTCTTGAATAAAAGTGGAGTTCTAATAAGAAATCTTATGTTATTTGACAAGTAAAATATTTGCATCACATGTGCACGTAGTACCTAAAAATGTATGAAAGTCCTTATTATACCATTGATATACCAGCTACCTTATATTACTTAGTAAATTAGGTGTCTTTTGTTTTTTGGATAGTTTAGTTGGGTAATAAGGGGAGAGGGATTGCAAGTATGAGGATTTGGAAAAAAAAAAAAAAAAAGAGGTGTCATTTACATACCTTAACCAATGTTGTGGGGACACTCGTTAGAAAATTTTTTTTTATAAATAAAAGAATTAAAAAAATAAAAATTATTTTGACACTGCATGATGCATTCTCGCTTTTTCTTTTACTTAAGAATATAAATGTTTGCAATCATTACTACATGAGAGTTTAATTTAAAAAAAACAAAAGTAGAGACTAAAATATAATTTTGAAAAGGATGGAAGAAGTCTAGGAACTAGAAGCAAATAAAATGCAATTAATGTTATTGGCAACTTGGCATGTGAAGAAGTTATGAAGGAAAGAATAGGTGGTCCCACAAAATTAATTTGACATATGAGGAAGTTATGAAGAAAAGAATAGATGGTCCCACAAGATTTTATCTCACATTTTTATAAATGTGTTTTCTATTTTTTAAGTTAAATGGATGTATATGGATAAGATGGATAATCCATTTAAATCCACTAACATAATTGGATTTAAATGGTTATCCATTTAAAACCATTGAATTTATATGGATCATCCAAATCCATTTAAGGTTGGTTTATATGGATGGATTAGTGGATATGAATCCATTTTGCCACTTCTAGTACTGATGTATAGTGTGGATTGCACACTGTTGGTCTTTTAATGTATTTCGCAGGTTACATTCTTTGTAAACCTTATACTTTCTATATTAATAAAAGACATTGTCTGCTCAACAAAAAAGTTAGAAACAAAGAACGAAAACTAACTTATGTAACAAAAAGAAAAGGAAAGAAGATGAAGATGAAATTAATTTAATTAGGTAACAAAAAGAAAAGGGACGAAGATGAAGACGAAGATGAAGATGAATTTAGGTAACATTAGAAAGTGGAGCTTTGTGGAGAAGTCAGACTTGGATGCATGTGGCTAGTGCAAAACAAGCTCCAGAGCTGTTTTGACTTGCAATCTATGTAGGGTAGTGGTATTATGTATGGATATTATGGAACCTTTGATAGTGGCAATATTATCTGTCCCTAAAAGGAAGACAGGTATTATAGAAACAAGCTCCAGATGGATAAGCCATATCCAGTTTGACCTAGTAAACAGTCAAATAGACCAATGTTTTAATGCAGCCCCCACGTTACAATTATAGACAAATTGTGCTCCACAAAGACCAACAAACCTCATGAATATGGATTTTGGACTTCATCATGAGCTCACATTTGTCATTGCTCAATAAAAATGAGTTAATAAAATGGATTAATATTCTATACCGACAGTGTATATATTTCACTATTAGATGCATGACACATAATTTAAATTTGAATTTGAAACCTAAATTTTGCATATATGTCGTACATCCAATCATGATAGTGTGTACACTGTCAGTGTACATAAGGTTTACTCTGATAAAATTTCAAAAGTAAATTAAAGACAAAAAGCTGGACAAGACAGTTAGGCGTACAGGACTTTGGACCCATCCTTGTTTGTTGTAAAGTAGCTCAATTTAGTAATTTTGAACTAAATTCCTTGAGGATTTTTTTCTTCATATGTTTTTAGCTCATGTCCACATGAACTGTTGTTTTTGGGATATATAAATAGTTTATTTTTTTGGTGAAATATATTAAATAAAAAGCAACAACTTAAGTACATGCCGAATTGAGTATGGGAGAAACAGGTTCCCCTCATATCCTCCTCTAGAGCTAAAGATACTTCACGAGGACAGGAATCCAAAATGATGAAAGGTGATTCTATCTTGCCTCCAAACTTTGCTAAACCATCTGCATATTTATTTGCTTCTAAGAACGCATAAGAAATCTTAACTTGCTGCAGCCACGAAAGGAGGAATCTGTAATCAACACGTACAACTAGTTCTGTTGAGCAGCTCAGACAACATTTTTTGTTAAGCAAGTTTTTTGAAACCATGATTAAGTTTGCTTTTTATTTTTTCATCTTTCTGGCGATTGTTATGTTCATTGTATCGTTAGCTTGACAAAACTTCCTGATCATATAATCCAACGAATAGAACATGCTATTCGTTGGTGTCTTGGAAATCTTACAAGGCACCAAAGCTTCGTAAAGTGGATAATTTGCTTGAACACCTCAAAATGACGGCTCATGGGTCGGGAATTAACATGTGGGGAACGAAGGCCCTTCTCTAAATCCACACGTTTATCTTCAAAATATGAAGACTAGACTGATGAGACAGTCTAAGTGCTGGGACAGCATAGGAATGACTTTATCAACCCCTTCAATCTATAAAACCAGCTCTGCAAGCAGCCAGTTTGCAACTCAAAAATCTGCTTTCCGAATTCATCATTCACTTGATGAACGAGCAATCATCAGATATTATGGCATCATCATATATTCATCTGCTTTGCATCTTCTTCCTCTGTTGTTCTATCGCTTTAGGATCGGACCCAAGCACTCTTCTAGACTTTTGTGTTGCAGATACAAAAAGTCCTAGTTGGATCAAAAGTGAAACCCGTGACTGTTGGTCAAATACCGGGGCTTAACACTCTTGGAATATCTTTGGCTCGTTTGGACCATGCACCTTGGGGCATTAATCCTCCCCGTATCATCCACGAGATACAGAAATTTTGACAGTGATCGACGGTACTCTCCAGGTTGGTTTTGTCGCATCCAACCCTGGAAACCAATTGCTCATGAAACTGTTGCATAAGGGCGCACTACAAGAAATTTGGCCTTTTGTGATAATAAAAAATCATCACTAAAAATAAAAAAGTCGTCATTATATGACTATAGTGACGACTTTTTTCATTGTCACATGATTGTCACTAATTCTATGTCACAAATGGGTACGTGTGACAACTCTTTTAAAGTCGTCACTAAATCTTGTTATTTAATGACGAGGACTAAATCGTCACTAACGGTTGTCATTCTGTGACGAATTTTCTTGTCACTATTTCACATATTTTTTTGTCATAAAACGTATCAAAAGTCGTCACAAATTTGAACTCTACAGTGACGACTTGAACTTGTCACTATCATTCTAAGTATTCAGTGACAAGAATAGTCGTCACTTAATGAACTTACAACTTTGTTTGGAAGATCTGCAATTGTTCATTACAAATATAGCATCGTCACGGCATTTCCGACAATTATAGCAAAAAATTAAATATGCATGATAGTGACAACTTTGAAGGTTATCACTGAGTTTTGTCTTAAAGAGTTGAAATTGGCCATTACAAATATAGTATTGCCATGACATTTTCAACAATTATAGTAGAACATTCAATTTGACAAAAGGCAAAATCAGCATAGAATATATGCCGCAAATTCATATATTTGGCCATAACACATCTATAAATTAATCAAAACAAAAGTGAACCACAAATATTGGGCCCTAAATCCCACATAATCAATTCAAGTAGTAATGGCCAATACATATCCTTCCCAAAAGATAAGAGTACTAGATTTCTAAACTAAAGCATAGACTATAGCACCAATGTTATATTTCAATCATCTCTAGCAGCATATCCAACAGTCTTCTCACAATCAATATGAAGCTAGACTGCATTGAAAATAAACTTTTTATTAGAGTTTCAGTATATCCAACTATTGTGAACTTAATAAGTAAAAAAATCAGTCAAAAAAAGAGTTTCAGCCAAAATAAAAGAATATGCGAATTTTAAGAAAGCAGCCACCCCAAGTTTATAGGACTCGTCCTTTCTATTATCAAGTTTCATCCAATTTTTGTCCATGTCCTAGAGTTACAAATCCAGAACATAAGTCACAAATTTTTATCTACACATTACAACCAAAAATAAGCATAGATAAGCTAGTTATGAAACAATAGATTTTTTGAGGTGAATCTATAAAGATATAAGTGCAATTCCTAATGTGCATAAGTAGGCATAGGTAAAACAGGAAAATCTCTACTTCTCTATGTTTTTTCCAGATTATATATTAAACATACACTTTTGCTAGCTTAGACGATCATCCATGAATTTCATTTTGAAGGAACAAGGAATGGAACTGTTAAGTGGCAGCAACTGCAAATCTGTTAGTGTTGTTGCAGTTGCATCCTTTAAAAGAGAGACTAACAAATCAAAAACAATCTATTAAAACATAGTTTAAAGAAGTTACCTGAAAGTAATGAAAAATTAGAAGAACAAAGGTAAAAACAGGCCTAATTGTCTCTTGAGTCCAGCGTAAAGCAGCTGCAAAAAAGGCGATGAAAAAGCTGAGAACCATTTTTCAATTGAGGCTCCAATGAAAAAGCTGATTAGTGAAGAAATATACAGAAAACAGAACACCAAACATAATGCACCAAGTGTAACAACCAGTTTAATGGGAGTAGATATGTTACCATCAGGAACAAAATCAGTTGCACAGAAAGTTAAGAAAAAGAATGAACTACATGCATAAAGCTTCTAAGATTCAGTGAGGAAAATGGACTGAAAGACATGGTACTGACAGATTTTTAACTAGGAGTGGAAAATGGATTGAGTGAGGAAAAAATGGGTAAAGAGAAAATTTTTACTTGAGGTTTAGACAGGTCAAGTTTATGTCATGATAAGTTCTGTCACAAAGATTTTCGTGCCATCGTCTTCATTTTCTCCACCTTTATGTATACTTCAGTTTCATAATGACAGAAACTCATCGAATTAGTGAACTGTGATAGTTGTTTCGATCAATAGAGTTCCATATTGTCCTTAATGGAATATTGAGTTTGAGCAAAACTCTTATCTGAATGAAAATTTCTCCCATTGCTGGCCTTTTAGGCATTAGCTAGCCTCTCTGCTTTTCCAGTTAAGTGCTGTTCTGAAGACATGACAAGCAAAAAAGAAGCAGAAAGATTCAACAAGGAAATATACAAGTCTATTATTTAGTTTGAGAATCCTATTCAATTCTTGAATGGCATATGAAGTATGAACATGAAAGTATTAATTATATTTATAGATTGAATAGAGCAGTAATAGCATTCATGGCTCTTAAAAAGGAAAAATAAAAAATGTGCTATGACTAACAAATTTAAGAATCTTGTCCATTTCCAAAATGTTATTTCATTTTTATAAGATTCTTTCTTCTTGATGAGACATTGTCGTATATACTGTGTTCAACTAAGCTTATAAGTGGACTGTTAATCCATTTTGCTTTTACAATATAAATTATAAGAAAAAGAAAAAGAAAAAGAAAGAGGAGAGAGAATGAGGGTAACAAGACTAATATAACAGATGTCAAAACAAAAACTCCATTATATTTTTTAGTTTCGAAGTTAAATTGTATCCCATACTAGTGGAAAGGCAGCTGGAGCCAACCTAGTGCTATCACCAAGTAGCCAAAAGTTCCTATAACAAGTGTAGTTGTATGAGTTTTATCAACTTCAATGGACCTTGAAGTTCCAAAATCTAACACTTTGGCTATGTGCTTCCCATCCAAAAGTATATTGTTGGACTTGATGTCTCCATGATAGATGGGAATTGCGGCTGCCGAGTGTAAATATGTCAATGCTCCTGCTACTTCACTTGCTATTCTTAGTCTGAAGTTCCAAGTAAAGGAGAATGAATCATCTATCTGATTATGAATGAGGCTGGAGAGGGTGCCATTAGGGATAAATTCATAGACCAATAGTGGAACTTCTGTCTCTAAGCAACAACCCAGTAGTTTAACTACATTCCTGTGGTTGACTTGTGAAAGAACGATAACCTCATTGATGATTCAGTACCATAAAACTTCTGTCAGTACCATGTTTTTACTTTATCTTTGGCATTAAATGCTTTTATCTAAATCAGTAGAACCATATATGGACACTTTACAGGTTAAGTGCAATCCTATATAAAGCACATCAAAACCAATTAGAGAACTCTGTTTGCTTGGCAGAATAGTCAGTAGTAGTTGTTGACAAGAAATTCTAAAACTGAAAAAGAAGCTCCATTCATTCACAAGCAGGCTGTCATCGTAGCTAAACAGATTTTCTCTCTTTGGCAGAGTGGATGAGAAGAAGATACAACACTAGGACAATCTCTATTCAAAATAAGTAAATCTTGAAAGAGTTGCAAAACTTTCTAAACTTAAGCGAGGCTGTGATTTAAAACTTGGCCCTTCGCTGTGTCTATCCTGCATATAACTAACTTAATGCAAGTGTTCTCTAAGTTACCTTTGCTGTGTTGAAAACAACATTTTTGCAGTCTGCAAGAATGCTCACAGACCAAGCAGGAAGGAAATATGAATTCCCCTTGAATGTGACGACGTTGGCATCTACTTTCCTGTCATAGTTAGCAAGAAAGGCTGCACAGTCGTTTGAAGCTTCATAGTACACATGTGCCTGATCAAACAAATTCATTCTGTTTTTGGATAAATTCACTATTTTGGATAACTATATTGCATTTTTTGCCTATTTCCGAAGACATAAACTGTAATGATCATCAGAAATGTCTATTGCATATGTCCTCTTATGAAAAACTCTTTCTCTTATCACTACCCACCATTATAGTTGGGGCAATGGGGAAGAAGTCCTTGAATTAAATCAGTCGGTTCAAATGTTCAACAGAAAAATCAGCCTCAACCCACTGTTGTCCAACTCATTATAGGAATAGAAATATCGAGTCAAGAAACGGGTTCTTCATTTTCCTTTTAAACAGGAACCAACCAATATCAAATCTAAAATTACAGAATAAAAACTCTTCGGAAAATCCCTTCATTACACAAACAACAGATATTTACAGCACCCAACACTAAACTCAAATCCAAGCAAAGATTGTAATAAGCCAACACATAATGGGCATAAGACATTAACAAACAGCAATTAGACAGAAATGTTTGAAAATAAATGGAAAATATTGAGATTATTTACCTCAAATTATGCCGTGACAACCTTAGGTCTTGTTTTCCTTCTGATTCAGTTTTCAAATTCTGGCTTTTTCCCAAAATTCATGGTACTGGCTCAATTTAGGGATATTTGCTATCTGCTACTCTACCAAAGCTGCCCTATCAGTTTGGGTAGGTTTTTTTTTATATATATATAACAAAGATGATGGGAAAGCTTATTGAGAATGATACGTGCCTCATTGCTAAATTATAGAACCAAGAGTACCAACAGCTACCATTGGACAAAAATGAAATACCATATCTCAATGGAAATATTCAGAAACAAGAGTTTGCAGTTTTTGAGTAACATTAGGCCAAAATTATCTCAACGAACAGGGGCTCCTTTTCTCGCAACTTTGAGGTATCAACTCCACTTTCCAATTGATTTCTTCCTACGGTTTCAACTGATGGATAAGATGATGAACTGTATTTCTTTAGCAGGGCTACAGTAAATCCAGCAGCCCAGACCTTGGGATCTATATTAGCGTCACCTCCTGAATCAACAATAATTCCCTTGATTTTCTCAAATAAATCTGGCCTACTTTGTAAATTGTCAAGAATGGCACCATACCTCCTCAGATGCTTCGGCTTCGACCCAAGCCATCCCAACAAAACTGCGGCAAAGATTGGCCCTTTATCGAACTAGCGGAGAGCAGGGGAGACAGGCTGCTTCTTCAGGATGCCATTTCTGCGGCCAGAAGTTTTGGCAGCGGCGGATCCAGAAGTGGTGAAGGCGACGGAGGTCTTAGCGGCTGCCATGAGTGCTCTGCAGTGGTTTCCGAAAACCCCAGCGGTCGACGCCATAGCGGTTGCTCGATTTCTCTCGCTTCGGTAATCGGAAAAACCCTAGAGAGAGAAGAAAGAGAGTGGAGTGAGAGAGTGAGGGGACTGGGAGTCGGTGAGTGAAGAAGGCAGGCAGAGTGGAGGGAAAATATGAGAAAAGACCAAAAACGATGTCGTTTCTGCTTCTTTTGTTCACCCACATACACTTCTTCAATTTTCAGCTTCCCGCTTCCATTTTAGCTAAGACCAAAAAATAACACTTTCATACTCTTTTGTACGGCTAATTGATCAAATTATTGTTCGAAAAAAAAATAGCAACAATAAAGTTATTATTTTGAGCTTATTTACTTCACAAGTTGTATTTGGAACTTTATTTGTTACATTAAAACTTTGAAAATTTAGTGTTTTTGGATAATTTTTGGAAAATTTAGTGTTTTTGGGATTAATTTAGTGTTTTTGAAAATTAGTGTTTTTGGAATATTTAGTGTCTTATTAATAATATGTTTATGATAAAAAAAAATCTTTTAATGCAAATATCTTTGGTATTAATTATGTACGAAATTGTGGTCTGACAAGACCAAACAAGCTGTTTAGTTGATCAATTAACCAAAATAGTTTGCTAATACATGCATAAAACACTAAATGTATTTAGTACAAATATCGATTTATAAACCATAAATAATGTGACTATTGTAATTAATAATAAACTCCAGCCATGCGATTGTCAAGATTTTACTTAATTTCATGTTGAATTTTATTGTTCTTTGCCATTATTTTCACACTATGCTAGTCAATAATTTTCCATGTGTTGTCAAGATAATTAGATAGGGAATCCATGATATTTTTTAACCTTAGCTAAGTTCGGAACAAGTTATTAGCTAAGTTTGGAACAATTATAAAAATATGTATATATATTTTATTAAAATATCCTTCTCATTTTGCTAATGAAAAACATCAACTAAAGTGTAAAGGATAGGGTGTCATAATAGAATTAATGAAATCGGTTTCACATACGAGGCTAAATTGTAAAAGATAAGATGTCATGATTGAGTTAATGGAATTAGTTTATTACATATGGGGCTAAAATGTAAAATTTAGGGTGTCATAATAAGATTAATAAAATTTATTTATCACATATAAGCCACATTGAAAAAATTAGGGTGGCATAGTAGAAATAATGAAAGTGAGTTAGGAACAAGCACTTTAAAAATGTTTATGATTCAAAAAAAGATATTTTAATGCAAATATTTTTTGTATCAATTTAATAATTTTATCAATTATGCGCGAATTGTCGTCTGACAAGACCAAACAATTTGTTTAGTTGATCAAATAACCAAAATAGTTTACTAATACATGCATGAAACACTAAATCTATTTGATATATGTACTAATTCATAAACCATAAACAATTTGATTATTGTAAATTGTAATACATAACAAACTCCAGTCATGGAATTGTCAAGATTTTTACTTAATTTCATATTAAATTTTATTATTCTCTTCCATTATTTTCACACTATGTTAATCAGTAATTTTTCATATGTTGTCAAGAGAACTAAATAAAGAATTCATGATATTTTTTAACTTTATAACAAGGTATTAGCTATGTTTGGAATAATTAAAAAATAGGTAAACATTGTTTTTTACAATACATTCCTCATTTTGCTAATGATAAACACAACCTAAAGTGTAAAAGCATAGGGTGCCATAATAGAATTAACTTTTCTTTATCACATACGAGGCTAAATTGCAAAAGATAAGGTGTCATGGTAGAGTTAATGAGATTAGTTTACCAAATACGGGGCTAAAGTGTAAAAGTTCGGGTGTCATAACATAATTAATTAAATTTACTTGTAGCGTATGGGCCATATAGAAAAAATTAGGGTGGTATATGGGGTTAAAATATATAAGTTAGGGTGTCATAGTAGAATTAATAAAATTTATTTACAACACACGGGCCATATTGAAAAAATTAAGGTGGTATATGGGGTTAAAATGTAAAAGTTAGGGTGTCATAGCAAAACTAATAAAATTTATTTACAACAAATAGGTCATATTGAAAAAATTAAGATAGTATATGGGGTCAAAATGTAAAAGTTAGGGTGTCATAGTAGAATTAATAAAACTTATTTACAACATATGGGCCATATTGAAAATATTAGGGTGACATAGTAGAATTAGTGAAAGTGAGATGAGAATAAATGCTTTGGACAGTGATGACTAGTTGTTGTCACTAATTTAGAACTGGTAACCATATTGTGACGATATTTTAAGTTGTCACTGTAGGACAAGTTTCAATGACAACATGTTTTCCAGTCGTTACAATGGTGATCTCCCGCCACACTGGATAGTTGCACGCCATCCATATTGTGACAACTTATCCCGTGTTGTCACTGTTGATGGGTGAACCCACGATCAAGTATGACGACATTAAAAGTCGTCACTAAAGTTTTCAATTGTGACAACTTTCTATCTTGTCGCAGAGAATGTTGTCACAAAAGGCCAAATTTCTTGTAGTAGGGGGATGTGTTTGTATTTCCAAAAGGTCTCACCCATCTTTAGCGAATCCAAAAAAATTCTAATAAAAAAGTATATGAGACAAATTTCATAAGACCAATATGATGGAGAGGCAATTTATATGTGTGGCACAAAAGGAATAATATCAACAATAATAGATTAATCACACGTTACAATAACAAGGCTATCAAATTTCACTTTTCTCGACCGATAAGAATAGTAATATAAGACATTCTATTTATAGACTAGATGACTTATAAATAAGTTTTACAATCAGAAGAAATTTTCTAATAAAATACTAATTTCTAAATAATAAAAATACCATAATTTGACTGCAATAGAAATATGAAAATCTTAAATTGACTAAAACACATCTAAATAATAATATGAAAAGTTTCTATTTTTGAGTCTTGATTTAATATGCGAATATTGCCTCCCTTAAATGAAGCTTTATCTTGGATCAGGTTCATCACTATCATGATCAATAATCTTCCTTGCAAATTACATCAACATTACTTTGTACTAGTTCTTCATCTTCAAACACTTTTTTCATTGCAATAATCGACGCACCTGCATAGAATGTTATTGTTGCACAATTCAATATCAATTGATTAATAATTCACTTTGTAATTTTTAATCATAATTCAACTAACAGGATTTTTCAACTAACAGGATAATCATAATTTAACTAGTAGGATTTTTCTTTAATCTCTGTCTCAACCCCGCAATCAATCTTACAATCTCTAAACTAAATTTATGGTCCAATCTTCATCAATTGAATAATACATGATCAACCTTGTGGTCTAATAACTGAATCGACTGATTTCTTTTGGGCAAACTTTGTGCTCCAACTCTCTGACAGCTGCAACGTCCATGACTAATTTTGTAATCGGGAGAATTCTCAATATTCATAGGCACCCTAGGATCAATTTATTGAACCTAGGGTTCTGATATCATATGTAGAATCCAAAAACTTCTAACAAAAAACTATAAGAGATAAATTTCATAAAACCATATATTAATCACACATTACAATAACAAGCTATCAAATTTCACTCTTCTCGACTGACAATAACAATAAGACTCTCTATTTATAAACTAGATCACTTGGTAAATAAATCTTACAACCATAAGAAAATTTCTAACAAAATACTAATTCCTAAATAATAAAAATACCATAACATGAATGTTGGGATCCAGGCGCGGAATAAACAACTATTGAGACATCAAGTGCACAACAATTTATTGAGGAAACAAGTCACGAGCATGAAAGATAAACGACACACAATATTTAACGTGGTTCGGCTCCACCATTGAGCCTACATCCACGGAGAGAAACCTGTTCTTTATTATGAGAGGAAAACCCTATACAGAATACAACTTGAACCCAAGCTCAACCCTTGTATACCATCTCTCATCTCCCAAGAACCCTCTCTCACACCCCATGTATAAGGTTACATGATGCCCCTTGTGTCCCTTGTGCGTCCTGTGTGTAGTATGCCAACCCACCTATTTATAGAGAGTATTACTGCCAAAAAAATCAAATAACAATTGGAAACCAATACTATTTCCTAAACTTATATAGAGTAGAAAATAGTATCTAACTAAATAGGACTTTACTTGACTACTACTTCAAGTAACTAAATCCAATTAGGAAACTAGTTACTTCCCACACTAAATAGGAATCCTACCTAAAAAGAAATTAAGCCAATTTCCTAACAAATCTCCACTTTGGCGAAAATTTCTTTTAGCAACCATTTGCCTTCAACTACCAAATAATATGGTACCAAAATACACACCCGAATCAATACAGTCCTGACACCAAATTGATTCAATCGGCAAATGAACATGTGTAGTTACCCCGAGTCCAACCTCCAGTTAACTCGTGAGAAGGTGCCTCAATTCACCATCTCCCTTTGCAGGATTTCTTCTCACCACCACTTGCAATCTGGGATTCCCTTCTGTGAGCTCTAACCCTAACCATTGAGGCAATCAAGTGGTAAAGTCACCATACTTCTTCCCATCCTCAGGACTGCCTCGCCACATGTGGTTTCCAAGACTCCACCTAAAATGAAAAACTCGTACCTGTCAGAGTCTTCTGGCGCATAGAAATTAGATTTCCTTATTTCTTTGGGACACGTGCCACACCACCCAAAAAACATAACCAAAATCTAAAATCTACCGGGATGAAGAATCAACCGTTGGAGGTGTGAGAAAGTCTCCACCGATTCACGTCCAAAATCAACATTGGACTCCACCTTTTCCTTGACCCTTGAATCACTTGCTTAGATTCACTGTCAAGCATTTCCATGCTTTTCGACTTCCCATCCTTCACCATCAATGATTTTTCCCAAGCCATTGAAACAAGGATACCACCCATTAAATTGTTCAATTGGTGACAACTACCAATCCACTTGATCTCAATAGTTAATTAGGATCCAACTATGAACCTTGAGCAGCCCAGTCTCACAACCAAGCTCTGATACCACTTGTTGGGATCCAGGCGCGGAATAAACAACTATTGAGATATCAAGTGCACAACAATTTATTGAGGAAACAAGTCACGAGCATGAAAGATAAACGACACACAATATTTAACGTGGTTCGGCTCC